TACTAAGTGTTGCTAAGGTAGAGGAACAGATCAGTGGGTCATCACCAAATCAATAGGTGACCCAACACATTAGTATTATATTCATCATGAATATACAATTCACTATAACATTTATCATGAATAGTTATCTATTTTCATGTGTATACAACAAGTCTTCAATATTCATACATCACTATGATATTCATCTTTAATATACATTTTCACTATAACATTCATCATAAATATTCATGTACGTTCACGTATATACAACAACTTGTCAATATTCATCAATCAATATGATATTCATCATGAATGTATATTTCACTATAACATTTATCATGAATATTTATATATGTTCACGTATATACAATAAATTTTCAATATTAATAACATCAATATGATATTCATCATGAATATATATTTTCACTATAACATTCATCATGAATATTTATATACGTTCACGTGTATACAACAACTTTTTAGTATTCGAACATCAATATAATATTCATCATGAGTATACATTTTCACTATAACATTTATCATGCATATTCATATTAGTATGATATTTATCATGAATATACTACAATTTTAACTTTACATACTCTAGTTTTTTATAGAGTTCTCGATTGATCTCAATGAGTTACCGATTCGTCTTGATGGCCGATCTGTCTTGATAAAAAAGCTGAAAATGGTAGTTTATGGTTTTACACACGATAGTTTCTCAATCCGTCTCGATGAAAAATGAAGGTAGCAGGTTATGATTTTATTCACACAACCACACACCAAGTCAATATATAGGTTCTTGATTAGTTTCGATTGGTCTCAATGGATTCTCGATTGGTCATGATGGGTTCTCGATCGGTCCTGATAGGTCACGATAAAAGCTGAAGTGGTAGGTTATAGTTTTACATACAAACATATAATAAATCAATCAATAGGTTCTCGATTCTCGATGGAAAATGAAGGTGGTAGGTTATGGTTTTACACAATAAACACACATCAAATCAATGAATGAGTTCTTGATTGGTTTCGATGGGTGTTGGCTTAGGATAATGTAGAACGTCGTGCCATGTTACGTATTTACGACGTTGACGAATGTGTTTTCAGGCTAAACTTGTGATGTTGAAGAATGTGATATCAAGCTATGGACAAACGGTGTCAAGCTGTTGTAGACACCTGGTCCTGAATGTGTATGAAGATTCAAAATGAATATTACATACACATATAGCATTTCATGTAAAAAAACGATTAAAACGAGAAAAAAAAATATTATATCAAGATGGATGTAATATCAAAGAAAAGGAAATTCTTTTTTTTAATGTAACTTATTTGATTAAAATATTGATATTTTTTATAATCATTTAGTTTAAAAATTAAGTGAGGTAAAGTTTTTAACTAAAAAAAATAAAACAAAATTTCATATAATTAATCGTGATCATGATTGAAATAAACCTCCTTTTTCCCCCTAATTATCTTAATCAATAATTTTAATTAAAAATTTTATTTAATATGAATTATTAGATCAAATAAAAATAGAAAATCAAGATATTTCAGTTAGTTCAAAATGTCAACATGATATCGGTTTTCAATGAAACCTTTGACTATGTAAGGAGCCGTTTATCAAACGATTAACCCAAGTAAGCACTTACCAAGTCACATTACCTTACCGGATGAATATGGTAAGGACCAAGAATTTTATCCAATATGAGAAAGACAAAGGACCAAAAGTCTTACCAAGGCAAGCACTTATCGGATAAATCGATGCATACAATACCGTTTTGATAGACTAAAATCTTAATCGATAAATAAATGATAGTGTTAAATTTTATCGACAAACACTTAACATATAAGTGTTTGGTATCGGAAAAAAGTTTGATAAAACCTTGCACCAATGTGATAAAATGCTTATGTTAGTTGGGTATCATTAGGAAGATGACATTCCATTTCCACCAAACCTTCCAATTTCATGCTCACAATCTTTGTCTACAAAACAATGCCTCCATTGATTATTTCATTTTGCTTATAAATTGGCCCTACCTCATATATCATATATGTTTGAACCAAATGAATTTTGGAGACATATGATTTCAAATTACCATATAATATAATAAATATAAAATTAATACAATTTTTTTATTAAAAAAATAATTATAAATAATGATTGAACATTCTTTGCTAATTAAAAAAATATATCGAAATTGATGTTAAAATATAAATTATAAAATTTAGACAAATTAAGAGTTGTTGTTTACCTCTTAGTAGTTCTATCAAGAGGCAAGTTTTGAATCGTTAAGAGGTGAATCTTGTTTGCCAAAAAAAAATTGTCTCTTAATCGTTATAAAATCCTCTGAATAATTTTGCATCGATCATGGGTCTCGCTTAACCATTCAGCGCCATAATTTTATTGTAAACAATTATATTTCATTTTACACTATATCATGAAAACCTTTTAATCATTCCGCATCAAACCATTCAGTAACTATCAAATGGCCCTTAAACCGTAACTTTCTATTTTTTATTCCATATTCTAAATTAACTAATAATTTGTACTTTATTGTATTCTTAAAATTCATAAATATTTATATTTATGAGAGGGTATAGATAATTAAAAGAGGAAGGAGTTGAAAGTTTTATGGGCAAGTGTGAGTGACGTGCCAGCCATCGAATTGAGAGTGGGGAGTTACGCATGTGATATGCATCCACCAGTCGACGTTACCCAACCCTCACCACCTTCTATAAATTCCACAATTTCCCTCCATCAACACCCACCATTTCAACTCATCTGCCACCAATCGCCACCGTCTAAACCCGCCACAAAATGGTCACCATCCAGGAGTTCCGCAAGGCGCAGCGAGCCGAAGGTCCGGCTACCATCATGGCCATCGGGACTGCCACACCGCCTAATTGTCTGCTCCAAAGCACGTATCCCGATTACTATTTTCGTATTACAAAAAGCGAGCACAGAAAAGAACTTAAAGAGAAATTCAGACGCATGTGTAAGATATCATTAAATTATATGTACGTTTATTTGGCCATGATGTAATCATGATTCGTAATACTCGTTCTGTTTCTTTTTGTATAATGTTTTCAGGTGACAAATCTATGATCAAAAAACGATACATGTACTTGACAGAGGAGATCTTGCAAGAGAAACCGAACATTTGTGCTTACATGGCACCATCGTTAGACGAGCGACAAGATATTGTTGTCGTGGAAGTACCCAAGCTCGGGAAAGAAGCCGCGACACGGGCAATTAAGGAATGGGGCCAACCAAAATCGAAGATCACCCATCTTGTATTTTGCACTACCAGTGGTGTTGACATGCCAGGAGCTGATTACCAGCTCACAAAGCTTCTCGGCCTTCGGCCTTCAGTCAAACGCTTGATGATGTACCAACAAGGTTGTTTTGCTGGTGGCACCGTTTTGCGTTTGGCCAAAGACCTGGCTGAGAACAACAAGGGGGCCCGCGTACTGGTGGTCTGTTCGGAGATCACGGCAGTGACTTTCCGCGGGCCTGATGAAAGCCATCTCGATAGCCTTGTAGGCCAGGCTTTGTTCGGCGATGGTGCAGCTGCAATAATAGTCGGGTCTGACCCAATGCTCGATGTAGAGAAGCCGCTTTTCGAGATTGTTTCTGCTGCCCAAACAATTCTCCCCGATAGCGACGGTGCAATCGATGGACACCTTCGTGAAGTTGGGCTTACGTTTCATCTTCTCAAAGACGTTCCCAGACTTATCTCGAAACACATCGAAAAGAGCCTTTTAGAGGCCTTTCGACCCTTGGGCATCATAGATTGGAACTCCCTTTTCTGGATCGCGCATCCGGGCGGGCCTGCGATTTTAGACCAAGTCGAGGAAAAACTAAGCCTGAAGCCCGATAAATTGCGGGCCACACGACACGTGCTCAGTGAATACGGAAACATGTCAAGTGCTTGTGTCTTGTTTATCCTAAACGAAATGCGACATGCTTCGGCTACAGATGGGTTGAACACCACGGGCGAGGGGCTCGAGTGGGGCGTGTTGTTTGGGTTCGGACCTGGGCTTACCGTCGAGACCCTGGTCCTCCATAGTGTGTCCATTTAATTGGTCCATCCTACTCCTTGATGTGCCCAAATACCTTCTATTTGTAATTGTAATTTTCCTTTTCTCGTGCCAATAAATAATATGTACCCAATAATGAAATTTGTAATAGGGTCCTCCTATTCTATTATTTATCGTAGATCTCATCTTAAATATTTATTTAAGTGGGATATACTGTGTTTGTTTATTGCTTTGATTATAAAAATGTAACAATCTTTTTTGATTAATTTTTTTCTTGGTTTTCATATCATTATTTGATTAAGCATCCAAAAGGCCTCTTTGTCAAAAATAATATAAATAAAATTTAGGCGTCGTTTACTAAACGCTTATCCGGTAAGTATTTACTGAGTAATTTTTTTTACCGAATAAACATGGCAAGGGTCAAAAATCTTACCCGATAAGAGCAATGATAAAGATAAAGATTCTTACTCGGTAAATGATGGTGACGACTCTTACCCGGGTAAATTGTTACATACGATACCATTTTGATGTACTATAATCTTACCCTGTAAAATAAATTACAGTGTTGAATCCTAAGGGTAAACGGTTATCGGGTAAACGGTTATCGGGTAAACATTTAGGTAAACGAACCGTTATTTGATAATTCTTAAATTGGAGTTATTATTCTTATTATTTATTAAGTATAGATGTAATTTCTACATGAAAATATCTCAAAAGGATATAATTATTATTCTTTTCTTATTTTTTACTCTTGTCTTCGGATTTCATCTACCAAGTAAAAAGTTTCTTAAAAATTCATAATCTATAGTAGAGATGGCCAAAATCCGGTCCCGGACCGGTCCTTAACCGATCCCTACAGGTCCTAATCAAGACAAAAACCGGCGGTAACGGGTCCCGGTTCTGGTGAAATACCTTGTAACCGATCAAGCTTACCGGTAACCGGTTAAGGAATCCGGTCCCGGTTCCGGTCCCATAACCGGTCCCGGCCAAAAAAAATATTTTTTTTTCAAATTTTTGTTTATTAATAAATTTTTAATATTATTAATATGTTATTTTTAATATGTTTTATATAAATACGTTTAAAAATATGTTTTGTTATATATATATATATACGTTTAATTTTATAAATACGTTTAAAAATATGTTTTATATATATAATATGTATATATATATGTTTAATTTTATAAATATGTTTTGTTATATATATATATATACACGTTGACTTTTGTTGACCGGCCGGGCCGGTCCTATAACCGGTTACATAACCGGTTCTGTCTTAACTGGTCTCGGTCCTAGAAAACGTTAAAATCCATAACCGCTTCATAACCGGCGGTCCACAATCGGTCCCGGGCCGATTCCGGTCCCTCTCCGGTCCCGGTTCCGGTCCTCCGGCGGTTACGGGCCGGGCCGGGCCCATTTGGCCATCTCTAATCTATACTATATTATAAAGTATTTGACAAAAACTCTTAAAATTATTTTTTATGTGTAAAATACTGTTTATTAATGCATATTATTTAAAACTCAAGATTACAAGTAGATTGTGCGTAAGTACAAGTTATTAAAGCTCCATATCTGAATTCATGTAACTAACTGCAGATAAACATAATCAAATACAGGATAAACATCTCATTTTAAATATAAAAAATCTAAAATATAATTAGGATATCATAGAGTTCTAACAAAATACTTAATTATTGTCATTATAAAATGTTATATTATTAAACCAAAAATAAATTATTTCATTATTAAACATAAATTAAATTATAATAAAAAAATAAATTAAAGAAATTACGTAAAAAATGAAAACTTTTAAATAGTTGATTTGATATTAACATTAATATATATTTTTTTCAAAGTTTTATGATATCTTCAAATTTATATTTTATTCAAAAATAAAATCATTATTGTTTTATTAAAAATACATAAAATCGTATTGTAACATCGACAGAGACAAATAATAAAATAGAAAATTAAAATTAAGATGTGTCTTGCTGCATTGTACGAATACTCTTCTAGTATTCTTAAAAATTAACTATACTGAAAGGTTTGTCAAAACCTCATCCAAAAGGAGCATAGATTCTTAGTCAAAATAGGATTATTGTAAGATACAAAAAGATTAAAAATTCTATATTTTGTAGATGTTAATTATATATGACGTTCGTGACATATTATATGTCCGAGATGAAATTTAAAGAATGGCTCTTGATATCGAAAAAGAATTCAATGTATTGTGTTTATCATCGGAAATACATTGAATTCAAGAGATACTAAAAATTCATATAAAACCATTTTTCCGAGTAGTTCTAGATATAAAATCAACCAATAATTATTTCTAAATTAATATTATCTAGCATGTCATTTTTACATAGTATTGTCAATCTGTCACGCTATCAAAAACATCCCATGACATATCTTTAATATATATGAATTGATATAATTTGGAGTTACAATATTGACTATTTCAAGAAACATTTTAAGTAAATCAATATAAATCAGTTGAGTTTTCCTTCTACATCATGTTAATGTTTTTCGTCACCACTTTAAACTTTTAGAGTTAAAACAAACATTAACGGAACTATCAATCTTATAATCAAAAGCCCATGTTGGTTATAGTTTGAGATTTTTTTGGGGGTAAACATGGTGGTTTCCAGGTTGCTTATGTGCACTAACTAATCTCTCGGGCGACCACAAATAGCCTAGAGAGAAAGGAGAGGACTTAAGATACATGCACTCAGTATTAGGTAATAAAGAGTCAATAAGAAAAGAGCTTTAAAGTTGCGAGTTCTGGGCTGATGAGCGATATGTAATCCTATGATTAGAACTATGCTTTACTACTTCCATATCACCTACGCTTCCTCCCAAGAAGTTACTATTCTTTCCTTTTCTCCTGGCTCCTAAAGCCTTTTTTACTTTTACTTGGTTGGCAGGGTTAGGGCCTTTCTTGCTGGGCGTTCAGATGACTGTCGGTATGATGATGTGTTTGATGCTAAAGCTGCCTATTCTCGCTGAGACTCTTGTCGAATCCAATCTTCTTTCTGGAGTGCTATAGTTATTTAAGTCTCTCGGCGGGAATGGGATATTACCTATAAGCCAGATGCTTCGGCCTTATTCTGCAGATCAAAGAGCGACTTAATTCCCCATTCAATATCCAATTCCGATTCCGATCCGCGTAGAAACAGGCTTTGGTTGTGCGGCTTTCTCTTATACTTATAGGGGTCTATTTTCTCTGACTTGACTCAGCTTGACCTACTTGACTCAACGATTAGAGTATCGCATGAAAAAATATATAAAGGTAGTTTGAAATCCTAAACATAGATATAAGTTGGACGTTCTCGTATGGTTGATATTTTTTCACAAAGGTAAACGTTTTCTTATTTAATAACAAGAAATTTGTATCTATATATTATAGCATAAAAATATAATTTATGTGAATTGGATAATCAAAAGAGCCAGTTGAATATGAATGATAGAAAATATATCAAGTTTTTCTAGAAAAGTAATTTTAGACTTTGACGGTAGATAAATTTTTTTAGAGAAACAAGAAGCAATATTATAAAATGAACAACCAATTAAACTTTTACATATTTTTTCTCCAATATAATTTATTAAAACATGTATGAGCCCTAACTTATAATAATAATTCCTTTTGCGTCATACTAAATACTAAATAATTTGTGTTTCTTTTATTCACTACTTTTTTTTAACTACTATTATATACTAAAAATGGGCTCCTATTTGTTGTGGCCGGGCCACGCCCTCCCTCCCTCCCCTAAGAACAACCATGCTGGCTATTGACTCATAAAGCACATTGCTCTTCGTTTTCCGATCAAAGGCCCAAAGGATGGCTCAATGAGGTTCCTCTGTTAGTGGCACAACCCTTCATATGGCTAAAAGACCAAACCAAGAATAAGGTAGTTCATGTATTGTTTTAGTCAGCGATCTTCGCAATTATTTATGTGGCCCCAATGATATCGATTTTTGATAACCTTGTAGTCAAGGCTTTGTTGGCCGTGATTATATCAATTGTGAGCCTCTTTTAATGTATTCGCAACAAACTACCAATAATTTCGTACTATGGTTTTTATTTTATTATAGAATTTATGGCACAAAATTATTGCTAGTCAACGATCAGGTCTTTATATATCACAATCATAATTCATAACTTATATCAAATAAGATGTTACAAACTCCAAAAAAAAATATTGTCTTATGTGGGACTGGATATAAATTCAACATGATCTAAAAGCATCATTCAGTATAATCCACCCCACCAAATCTCCAGGGGTCACAACTCTCATAAAAGTTTTTATGTTGCAAACCAAAAACAACAATCTAATCGAGATAATCTCTAAATAAACTAAAATCAAATTAAGATATTACAAGTAGATCAGTACTAAATATATCTAAAAGATTCCTCCTAATCATGCCCTAAGAATGTATGATTACATAATTTTCATTTGTTAGAAACAATCATGATAAATTTTTTATTTTTGTTGCAAAACATACCAAAATGCTTAATACTTTTGTCATAAAATTAGACATGCCACATACTTATAGCTGTTGAACAATTCATACAGTTAATGAATGTTAAGAACTTCAAGCAAAATCTGTATTTTGGTTGATTGGGAACACCTTTGTCATAGAATTACACATATGCATGAATTGCGTACTCCTTCTAGTTCTCCATCATCCGACACGCTATCAATCCAACAAGATTAAACATTTAGCTTGAGCCCTAACGATGCAAAAACAACAAAAGTTCACAAGTCAAATATTGGTGTTGGGAAAGGGTTACCTGGGCTCAAATTCTTGAACATGTGCTATATCTTTTCCATAAGCATCTGGCCAACTAACTTTTCTTATTCCTTTTATAAGTTGACCGACTTCCTCATGGATTACTGTCGATTTCTTAAGGTTACTCTTGAGAGGAGTGGGCGTGGGTGGCATTTTAGTGCCACCATTCATGTTAGTTCTTGATCCACTACTAACACCATTGATCTTTGCTTCGTGATCACTAATATGAACTTCTTGTTGATCTTCAATAATGATCCCATAAGGATGAAGATGATGATCTTTGTTTGATGAAGATGTAGGTGAAGGCGTAGGCGGAGAGCACC